AAAAAAAAAAAAAAAAAAAAACCGTGAATGAAGATTTTATGGGAATAATCCCCCAAATTGCTCCTCAACTCTTATGGTTTATGGCCTTTTGCCCCTATACTTAAATATGAGACTTTAAGCCTTTGTTTTATACGACTTATATGGGTTTATTTGACTTGAAATTAACACAAATTTCTAAGCTTTCATTAAAATTTTGTTTTTTTTTTTTGTTTTTTTTTGCCATCTAATTTACACACCACTTAACATATGACTTTACAACGCAAGATTTGGATTATGTCTTTCTAGCTGACATGCTACATATGGCATGTAATTGATGAGACAAGGTTTTGACATGGAGAACTTTAAAGGACACATGAAATGCGTGAAATGATGTTAATTTGAAATTAAAACCCAAGAGTTTTGTAATAGAAGAAATTAAAAACCTAATATTTAAGTACAAGGGTAAAAGGCCTAAAACTCACAAGTTGAGGGACAAATATCAGGGGTTATTCCCCATTTTATGCACTTACGACATTGGGTAGTTTTTTTCTTTATTTTAGTCGCCAAAACTACATGAAAATCTATTAATCCTAAGATAAAACAAACAAGTCTTTTTGTTGATACATCTAATGATTGTATATTATGAGAGGGAATAGTCCGCCTTTTTTAAGAAATCACTTCTTGTTCTACTCAATGTATGACTTTGAGATCTCCAAGATGGAGTTTACAATTTTTCATAAGTTGAACTACCTTTTAATTTGAGGCATATGAAATAAACAAATTGATTAAATTAAAAACAAAAACGAGTAGAGTTTTGGTTTTAGTTATCAGCTTTGAAATTTTAATTTATGTAAAAATTTCATCAATTTTACTATTTTTTGGTAAAGTTGATGATGGATAATATAAGAGAGAAATTTCTACTTTTTTTTTTTTTCAAATTCTTTTTTACTTTTTGTTTTTTGTTTTTTTTTTTTTTTGAACTACAAATTTTTATTAACAGAGTACATGGGGTACTCCTACCCATCCATACATATTATATTTAGTTGTTTCCATATACCAAGTAATAGGAAACCATATAAAGTATAAGCTTACAACCTTGCAAGACTCAACCCCAAATCCTACCCTTCCCTGCCTTACATTTAATCAATTTCGCACATGCTTTAGGATTTACTACCCAATTTGATAGAGGAAACAAATCTACTCCTAGTCTTGTGTTATCCAGTGGTATGCCCTTGCTTGTATTAATCCCAACAGGTTCTCCATATCGACCTCTATGCCTCAAAAGATTTTGTCATTTTTACACAACCATATTGACCAAATAAAGGCAAACCAAACAATTTCCCATCTCACATTAGTTGATTTTCTTTCAGTAGGCTAGCAATGTTGCATCAAAGCTTTACAACATTCCGAGTGTAACACATATGTTACATCCCACCAGTTAAAGTACTTTAACCAAAGCTTAAAAGTTATAGGGCAAGTTAATAACAAATGATCAACATTTTCCTCATTTTTTCCACACAACACACACAGACCACCTTTTTCAACATTAATGATTCCTCTAGCAATCATCTGATCCTTTGTTGGCACTCTATTTAATAACAATTTCCACAGAAGTGAACATACCTTCTTGGGTACCAAAGCATTCCAGCACCTTTTGAAATTTCCGTCTTGCCTTTGGGGGTCGCTGTGAGCTAGAAATTTGTATGCAGACTGTGGAATAAATCCCATCTTTCTCAAGTTGCGATTCCCACTTGTCTTCTTTGTTCTAGTGAGGTGAAATCCCTTCAAGAAGAGCTTTAAACTGTTGTTCAATATTGACTTCTCTTGGGAAGAGTTGCCTTCTCCAATTAATATTCCAATGCCACCTGCCATTTGACCAGCATCATATCTCAATAACTGTTTTCTCTTTCACTACAGATAAAGCATACAAATTTGGGTAATTTTGACATAGAGTGCCACCCCCCTCCCAATTATCTCTCCCAAAAGACACCGACTTCCCTTTACCTAAAACTAACTTAAAATTCTTTTGTAACCAAACCTCCTTTCCTTCCATCACTCCATCTAGACTACATAAATACTTTCACCATTGAGACCCCGAGTTTCCCTCTCTATTCAACCAATGAGCCCAACTAAATCTATCCATTCCATATTTTCTTTCTAGCACTTGTCTCCAAAAACCATTTCTCTTTGAAGCTATTCTACCCCACCATTT